TAACACATTGTCGACGAGTACATTTTCACCGACACTGTTTTTAGGTGTAAACAATTTTCGGACTTTTTTAGGAATATCACATTACTGTTTTGAAAAGACTACCTGCACACAGTGTTTAGCATCTAGCGTTTTCAAATTAATCCGCACCGTTGAAATTTTATCCAAAACGCTAACGCTAATCTCTAACGTTATTTCGAAATAAATCCTTCATCTACAACATTTGTATTTTGTAAGTGTATGTTGTGGTGACAATTTTAGCGATACAACATACTCGTGAGAGTGTCCACACAAGTCATGCGGGTAATTATAATCAGAGGAATTAATTACCTAAATAAGACTAAAATATAATGACTTTTCAAATATAGGACCGTATGTTTTTATTTCACAATGTAGGACCTTTGATCATTATCAATAAATCATTATTCAAGTAAATGTCCATCATTACTGGACATTATTCCTCTCACTAGACATTATTAAGTCATATTTAGGGAATAAAAAAGTTTAAGTCTTATAATGAGAAATGAATTTTTTTTAATCCTATTTAGTGCAAATTTCACTTATTATTAATGATGTCATGTGTTGGGGTACACCATAATATAATGAGAGTTATCATTGAAATTTTTGGTATTTAGTAGACGTTTAGGTGAGCGTGTTGGGAATAATTATCAATGAGACTCATGCACTAATTAAATGTTTTGACGGTTGATAAATTGACGTGAGTTCTCCTAATTGAAACAAAAGTTTTGATATTTTATAAAATTATACATACATACATGTATATATACACACACACGGCATAATTTGTAAATAAATATATTTAAAAGAAATGAGATTTTACATGTTTTTCGAAGTGAGACGATAAAGTTTTGTAACATAGCGAGTATTAGTAAAAAGGTTCATTTTAAAATTTTACTAATAAAATTTGTTTGTGAAATAGACAAGAGCATGTCCCCTACTCCCCTTCAACTTATTATTTTTACTTCTTATTTAAATAAGATTAAAGTAAACCAGATCAGATCAGAAACAGATTTAAATGTCACTACATTCAGATGAGAACTTTTTATAATCGGATCAAACCAATCAGATCATGTGAAGAGAAGAGATCCAAAATTTATTCTAAACAAGATTTGTCTCTAAATATGAAGTGTGAAAAGTAAGGGTGATATAGATTATGTCTAAGATCATTGTTTTCTTTAGCATTCCCATTTTAAAAAATAACTAATGATGTTGTTGGAATATAAATAATTGTTCTTGAGCCACAACCACAAACTTGAGTTTTTGGTTGAGTTAGTTCCTTGACAGATGTAAATTAATTTTAAAAATGTTACTCCGTATATCATATCATTGGGTAGAAGGTGTTGTAGCTTTTTCCCTAATGCAAAAGTAACTTGAATGTAAAACTTTGGTGTACAAAATATTTCCAAGTAATAGACAAACGTTATACTCCGAAGAAAACATCTTCTAGATCTAAATTCCAATCAACCATAATTTTGTTTTCTTCATATAAATATTTGGAGCATATTTATTTTTGTAGTTTGATCGTCTAATTTTATATATATATGTGTGTGTGTGTGTGTGTGTATATATATATATTATAAATAAATAAACTTTTTATATAATTTATGATTAAAAAGTGTCACTCATTGACCAAAAAAATAAAAATAGAAAAAATATATAGGAAAGTTTTTAAAATTGACAAATACTCCATAACGACCATAAGGACTGGTAATCCTAAATCACTTCCAAAGGCAACTTGGAAACTGGTTGGTATTAGGACTGTTCAAAGTATCCGTGAAGCAGAATGTCGAAGCTGATTTGTACACATAAAAACCTAACCATTCAAAATTGAGAAAAACTTTCTCTTAATTGAGCACATAAAAACCATTCAAAATAAGAATCCAAAGATGAAAGACCAATCAAAAATATGCAGTTTTAATATATATATATATATATATATATACACACACACACACACACACACACACACATATACATATATATATATATGTGTGTGTGTGTGTGTCTATATATATATATATATATATATATATATATATATATATATATATATATATATATAATTACTTCAGAAAACTTGAATGGAGTATATTACAACGATTTTATTTGAATAAAAATTAGTCATTTTTTACGGTGTTTTGGGGGGAAAAGAAAAAAATGACCGAGGCCGGAAATCTTTTCAAAATGATCAGAGTAGTCATAATGACTAAAACATAATGACTTTCCTAATATAGAACTATATGTTCTTATTTCATAATGTAGAACCTTAGGTCATTATTAATTAATCACTATTCAAGTAAATGTCCTTCATTATTAGACATTATTCCTCCCACTAAGACATTATTAAATCCTATTTAGAGAATAAAAAATTTTAAGTCCTACATTAGAAAAGTCATTATGTTTTAGTCCTATTTGGTGCAAATTTCACTATTTTTTTCAACCTTTGAAAAAAGAATTCTTCAAAACAAAATATTAAAAACCAGACAATATTACTCCGTACGGTATTTGGTAGTAGTCGTAATTCGTAAAGTCGTACAACATTTTACATTTGCTAACAACTGCGCCGTATTGTTTCCAAATAAAAAAAATAAAAATAAAAAACGTACTACGGATTATTAAAATATTTTTGAGTATTTTTTTGAAAAATAGTGTTACCTAATATTGTCCTAAATAAGTACTCCGTACCATAAAAATATTTTTAAAACTCCCAATAGGCAACACACGACTCAGATCTGTTAGCTCTTTTTTAATAGAGCTGACAACGAAAAATGGCTTCTTTTTTTAACTTTTTAGAAGGAGTAAATTCCATAAAAGGTCTCCAGTTATAGATCGTTTTACATATCTAGTCCCTACATATCAAATATTACTAATTTAGTCTCCAATTATTATATTCATTTCCACAAATGTTCCTTTATTAACATTTCCGTTAAGAACGTAGATAAAATTGTAAATTCACATTCCTTTCTCTCCTCAGTTAAGCTTCCTCCCTCCCCTCACACCCCTTTTCCAAATTCATCGCTGAGTTTGAAGCTTTGAACTCAAAACCGAAATCATCACTTTTATTTCAATTGTTGTCTAAGTATCATTTGTCATATAAAATAATTTGAAAATAATTTCAGTTAAGCATCGTAAACCGAAATAGGCACTATAAATTGGGACGGAAGGAACAAAGATTAAATCACTCATCCCCAAAATAAATAATGGCTTTAAGGCAAAACTGGGTTTTAACCCAACCTATTAACTGTCAAAATGATTAAGAGGCATTGAAATAGGAATAGCCAAGAAAGGGGAGGTGCAACTATACATTTTGGGCCGTTTTTATTTTTACCCCAGTTGTCTAAAAAAATTTGTTAAAAAATAAATTATCTTCACTATTTTCCCTCATTTCCTTATCATAAAAGGAAATAAATTTATTAACGACTTTTTTCTATCTTTTTTTAAAAAATTAATAATTCAATTACAAATAAGATTTAATTATTGATAAACATGCTTTAGTTTTAAAAACCGGAACCCCAAATTTGTATCATTCTTATTGTCAATAATTTGTTTTTATTAATTTAATTTTTTATATGTCTTGTAATTATATATATTTATATTTTGAGTTCAAACAATAAGCATACACCGTAGTCCGTACTTTGTATGATAGTATTTGTAATTTCAATACGAAAGTCGAAAACACACAATTACAATGTACGAGTTAATGAACATCTCTAGAAATTAAAATGAATAACTTCAATTTTATTATTTTATATGTTCAATTCATTAGAATTTGATACAATATTACTTTTCTAGAAGTATATATATGAAATACAGTACTCTGTAATAAACTGAAAGCTCACCAAGCAATGGATCCCATCTTTTTGAACCATGACCAGAATAGAGGTTGTAAGAAATGTAAAATGACAGGAATATGATTAATATATAGGAAAAGGTACAAAATAAGATCGATATATTCTTATCACTAAAATAGGATGTATATTTTTAAACTAAATTAATTTCATTTACAAATTAAATTACGATCCCTAAAAAACTATTATCTCAATTAGCAATTTCTATTTGTGGCTGATGATGCCCTCACCGCCATCCACCGCTAATGTCTACGATGATTCACCATTTTCGACGCTAGAGTCACAGATATTTGTTGGTGTTGCCACCAACACCACTGCGATCTTCCACCATCACCGCCAGCACCATTGTAGTCTACCACCGACGTTCCCAACACCGCTACTACCACCATCGTAGTGCCACAAAAACTTTCATGAAAAAAAACCGTCAAAGCAATGTCCACCAAAACCAAAATTTCAAAGGTCGTGACAATGCATATTGATAAGCATGTCAATGCATAATGTCAAAAATGTTAGACAATATTAATTATGGTAGTAGTACTATTTTCTATATATATTGTGATGTACTCTTCTCCACGGGTGTGTCTTTCAATCTACCCATTTGTCAATATGGTATCAGAGCCATGCCCTTTGTGAAGGTTGTTGAGTATTAACTGTTACGGCGCTGATTTTTCACTCACGTTTTTCAAACCCGTACGGCCTATTTTGTCTCACAAAATAGTCAGTCTTAACTTTTCTTAGAGACAGAATATATTCAAGAACACAACAAACACAAATTTACGGTAAACAACCAACTTTGTATTAGACTCGTATAATACAAAGGAACGGCCAAACAACTCTGTTTTTAGCCCTTGTCTCGCTTGGCTAACACATGCCATGGGTAGTCATATATATATATATATATATATATATATATATATATATATATATATATATATATATATATATATATATATATATATATATATATATATATATATATATAGGCAAAACCATGATGGTTACAGGCCAACCATCTAGCCAGACACGACCCTTCACGAAGGAACACCAATGCCAAACCGCCCCTGGTTCAAATTCAAAAGCCAACCGCCCTTTTGAATTTCAAATGGCACTGCCCGCCTGGTAACTGCCACGCACCCCTGGCCATGCATCCTTAGCCAACTCGTGGCTTCCACCCAAAGCCACTCTGGTCCAAGCCGCACCCCACGCCGCGCCCCCATCACTGAGCCAGCCGTAAGCCAACTTGAGCCAACTTCGTTTTACACCGAACCACCCGTGAGCCACTGCGTTCCTGCAAGTCTGGCCAACCCTGCCAGTGACTCCTGCCCCATGGTTCGGCTTAGGATCAGCACCAACTTTAGCCATCCTTCCCTCGGAGCCAATCGTGCTATCCCAGCCAGCACCCGACCTTGATCAACACTGGCCAACGCCAAGCCAAGGCCATCTTGGCGTTGCCAAACCATCCTGATTTTAAGGGTCTAACATATCTCCCCCACCAGGAGAGTCCGACGTCCTCGTCAGAGGTTGTGAGGCAGCATCGCGACCACGCCAATACTCCTCGATCTTGTCTTCAAATTGCCACAACTTCACATCTCGCACCCAACTTGAGTCTTCTTTGGAATCACCTTCCCATTGCACAAGGTATTCCGTCCGTCGGTTCTTCTTGCTTTGTCCTTTGATTTTATGCTCCCAAATCTTTTCAATGCCTTTGTCAAATTGTTCCCGAATTGTTGCCTTGAAGCGTCAAACTCTTCCTTATTAAACCTCTTCAAAAAACTGACATGAAAAGAAGGGTGAACTTTCAACCGTTCGGGTAGTTTTAAACGGTAGGCCACCTCTCCAACTTTGTGCATAACTTCAAACGGACCATCATACTTCGGAACCAAGCCGCGATGAACGGCTTTGCTGCTGATCCTTTTCCAAATCTGGGGAGTTAGTTTCAACATAACTAAGTCCCCAACTTGGAATTGAACATCCCGCCTTCGCTGATCTGCCTGCCTCTTCATCCGAGTCTGGGCCAATGCAAGACTATCACGAGCCTCATCAATTAAGTCTTGTTTGTTCTTCGCGAAGCGTACAGCAGCCGGACATGTTCCACCAACCCTTACAGAAATCTGATGAGGAGTAAGGGGTTGGAAGCCAGTTGCTAACTCAAACGGTGTCATTCTAGTGGCACTGGACTGATGTAAGTTATAGCAAAACTGGGCCGAATCAAGTAACTCCAACCAGTTTCTTTGACTCGCCGTCACATAATGCCTCAGGTATTCCTCAAGCAATGCGTTCATCCTCTCCGTTTGCCCGTCAGTTTGTGGATGATTTGCTATGGAGAACTTCAAAGAACTGCCCAACAGCTTGAACAAGGAAGTCCAAAACCGACCGGTGAATCGCGTGTCACAATCACTCACAATGTCTTCAGGAAGGCCAAAGTACTTCACCACATTCCTGTAAAACAAATCTGTCATCTTCTCAGCAGGGCAACTATCTGGAGCCGCTATGAACACTCCATACTTGGAGAAACGATCAACAACCACCAAGATTGTTGACATGCCATTCACTTTAGAATAGTATATGTTGATGATATAATTGTCACTGGGAGCTCTTCTGTCCTTGTTCAGAATTTTATTACCCGCATGTGTGCAGAGTTTCAAACGAAGGATTTGGGACCTCTTGATTATTTTCTTGGGCTAGAGGTTTCTCGTACCTCGTCTTCCCTTATTGTCTCCCAACAAAAATATGCCAGTGAACTTCTTCATAGGGTGGGCTTGGAGGATTGTAAGCCCACGGCGTCACCTCTTCCAGTTCGGCCACAGCACATCGTCGATAGGGGGGATGAACCCTTTCATGATCTTACTTTGTTCCGGAGCTTAGTTGGAGGACTTCAGTATCTTACTACTACTCGGCCTGACATTCAGTTTGCAGTCAATTATGTTTGTCAACGTATGCATAATCCAACAGAAAATGATTTTCAGAGCTTGAAGAGGATTATGCGCTTTGTTAAAGGGACACTTGATAGGGGTCTTGTTTTTCAGTCTGGTGATCTTCAGCTACGGGCATACTCTGACTCCGATTGGGCAAATGATGTGACAGATGGACGCTCTGTCACTGGTTATCTAGTTTATCTTGGGCCGAACCTAATCTCATGGAGTACAGAAAAGCAGTCTTGCGTGTCAAAATCCTCCACTGAAGCTGAATATCGAGCTCTATCTTCTGCTGCCTCAGAAGTCATGTGGGTCACATACATTCTAGAGGATTTGCGTATACCAGTTGCTCCTCCTCAGCTATTTTGTGACAATCAATCGGCTATATGTCTCACAAAAAATCCAGTTTTTCACAAGCGTATGAAGCATGTGGGTACAGATTGTCACTTTGTTCGGGAACACGTCATTGCTGGTACTATGAATGTGTCTCATGTCTTCTCTGAAGATCAACTTGCAGATTTGCTAACCAAACCGTTACCAAAGCCACGTTTTCAAACACTTGTTTCCAAGCTTCCGTTCGTGACACGACATTCAGCTTGAGGGGGGATGTTAGACAATATTAATTATGGTAGTAGTACTATTTTCTATATATAGTGTGATGTACTCTTCTCCACGGGTGTGTCTTTCAATCTACCCATTTGTCAATAAAAAAGAAAGAAAAATAGAAAGAAACACTCCGATTTATCAAAGTTTTGGCGGACCGAGAATAAAGGGTAGAGTATCGGGTAAAATTAATCACTTACCTATAAAGTCGAGATCTACTATTCTAACTCAAAAGCGTAAGCTGTTATGTAGAGCTTTACCATTCTATATATGATAGTGGTATTATTCTTTATTTTTCGATGTGGGAACTTCAACATGATTCACCAGCATTTTTGAGTTCCAAATCACATTCGTTGTGTTTGAAAAACGGCTTTTCGAATGACTTTTGACATTTTTGACTGATTTTGATGTTTTTTAATTTGACTAATTGAACAGACAAATCGGTGTTTGGCAAATGTCTTTTTCAATTTTAGACTTGTGTGGTGCCATTGAAGGGGGTGAGGGTGTGTGATAAGAATATTCGTCATATATAGGAATTACAAGAGAGAATTTTAATCTAAGTATGAGAAGAAATATACTAATAATACAATAAGGAAGATAATAATAATAATAATAATAATAATAATAATAATAATAATAATTTATTTTCTAATACATCTATTATTCGTAATATAAACGTTGCATGATTGGTCTTTTCGTTAAACTTGATGTTCGTTCATACATTTTTCTTCATTTTTCATTATAAATAAATGTGAAGAAGTCTCTCTTTTTTCTGATAAAAGGATCTCTCTCTTTTTTCAAATAATAGGGTCATATTTCATGTGCATCCATTCAAATTGACTCTATAAGTCAAATTTTGATAAATACTTTAAGACATAGGGAATACTTTTTTAGAAAAAAATAAAATAATACGCCCTCCATCTCATATATTTCTTTACATAGCACTATTCCAACTTTCGGAGAACTTTATTTATTTGTATTTTTTCATGCCCTATATGATAAAATAAAATATTTTTGATACCTCTTGTTTTGTTGAACTATTAAAGTAGTTTTTAAATATACAAGTTCTACTTTTTATTTCTATACCAATATTTAAATAAAATAGATTGAAAAAACTCGAGATTTTTCGCCCACCATTCTTTCTTTTTCCCCATGAAAAATAGAACTCACATGTACTTAATCGAAAATGAAAAAAAAACATGAACTAAGGACAAACTTAATGGAAAAACCAATCATGCAATAACTAAAATTAGGAAAATTAAAATTGACGAATTAATAGTGTATGACACAATAACTTGAAAAACATATGGTGAAACACACTTAGGGATTGTACTCTTCATCTGATCTGACTGGAATAAATTTTGATTTGATCAAATTTTATTTTAATTATATTTAAGAATGTTTCTCATCAGATTAAAATTCAATTAAGAAAAAAATATAAAGAGTATGTAATACGGAGTAAAAATTAAAATTTGCACTGAATAACGCTAAAATTAAAACTAACTCTTACTTCTTTAATATCCCCGGAGTACTTTCTTTGCGTGTCTCGTGTGGTTGAGAAGGGATTTGGTGTAAATGAAAAAACAAAACAATTTTTTTTCAACAACTCAGTCTAAGAATTGTCTGTGCGGTGCTTAATTTGGAGTATTCTTTCCGTCCTATGTTTCTTGACATAGTCAAGCCTCAAGACTGGACAAATTAAAGAGCTATTGATTCCTTCAGTCAAATCCAGGTTCCGTTTTTCCCTTTTTCTTTTTCGCCCACCATTCTTTCTTGCCGCCTCTGCAATTTCATCATCATCTTCTTCTTCTTCATGGAAATTCTAATTTCCTAACTGATGGTCGAAGATGAACAGTAGTAAAGTTAGAATCTTCCATCACCACCGCCCTTTTCTTGAACGAGTATTTCTCAATCTTAATCTTTGCTGTGAAATTTCCTCTTCTTTACCGTTACAAAGATTCTGAAGATTCCATTTATTGATACCCATTCTTTGGTTGCTGCGGAATCACCCAATTCTAGAAGATTATTGGTGTTCTGGATTCTGGGTTCCTGCAAATTCTCTGTTTATATATATATATATATATATATATCACAGGGCTGGGAATCCTGGGATTCAGAAAAGATTTGATTTTTATTTTCTTGAAGCTTCTGAAGATGGTAGCTTAGTAGGCCACAAATGTCATCTGCCTGCTGCCTCCCAATTGTTGAGTGTGTGTACTGTTTGGGCTGTGCCCGTTGGGCGTGGAAGAAATTCCTCTACACAGCCGGACGGGAAAGCGAAAACTGGGGCCTCGCGACCGCCAGCGAATTCGAGGCGGTGCCCAGGCTGTGCAGGTACATTCTGTCCGTGTACGAGGATGACCTCAGGAACCCGCTGTGGGCCCCACCCGGAGGGTACGGGGTGGATCCCAACTCGATTGCTGTTCGAAGAACGTACGAGGACACTCAAGGGAAAGTGGCACCTTACATGATATACCTCGACCACGGGAATGCCGAAATAGTCGTGGCCATTAGAGGCCTCAATTTGGCCAAGGAGAAAGACTATCTTGTCCTCCTCGATGACAAGCTTGGGCAGGCCGAATTCGATGGGGGTTTCGTTCACAATGGCCTGTTGAAGTCCGCACAGTGGCTGTTGGAAACGGATTCCAAGACATTGGGAGAACTCATCGCGAGATACCCAAACTACACGTTGGCATTTGCCGGGCATTCTTTAGGGGCAGGAGTGGTGACAATGCTGGCAATGTTGGCTGTCAAGAACAGGGACAAATTGGGGAACGTGGAGCGAAATCGGATCAAATGCTTTGCAGTTGCCCCTACGAGGTGTGTTTCACTCAATCTGGCAGTTAGATATGCAGATATCATCAATTCTGTTGTATTGCAGGTAATGTGTGACTCTCTTTGGGTAAGATTCTCATCATATATTATTTCTATGGGAACAACCTCTCTAGTTCCCACCTTCCCTAGACCCTACTTTTGTAAGATTTTTACCGGGTGTGTATGCAGTACTTACCCCAACTTGAAGTAAAATCCAATAAAATCACAACCATTTTTCATTGAGCGCGGCTATGGGATTAATATTCTTATGTAATTAGTTTGTGATATATACAGGACGATTTCTTACCTCGGACTACAGTAGGACAGGAAAATGCCATCAAGTCACTTTTCTGGTAAAAGATCAAGTGCATTACTTGAATTTACTTTTCTTTTTATTTTTTTTTTACCATTTCGATGAACTATGAGGCAAACTGTTTACTTTACTAGGCATAGTAAAACCTCTTACTGTATTAGTTTCTTGCTGATCAATGGCTAATACACATTAACATATGATAGTTTCCCATGTGTGCTCTGCATCAAGTGCCTGAAAGACACATGCACTAAGGAGGAGGCGATGCTTAAAGATCCAAGACGCCTTTATGCGCCCGGACGTCTTTACCACATCATTGCCAGGAAACCCTTCAGGTTCGTAGAAGCTTTTTCAAGAAGCATTTTGGCGGGTTTTGAGTAACTTAGGCCTCGTTTGGGAATAACGCTTTTAGTCAGTGCTTTGGATTATTTTTTAATGGTGCAGATAAACTTTGAAAAGCTAAATTTAATTCTCAAGATGCTAAAACTAAATGTTGAATCAAAGGGGCAGTTAGTATACATAAGAAAAAAACTCCAAGAACCGATTTAGGGGCAGTTTGGTCAGAATTTATTATCGGGTTGGATTTACGAAAAAAATTCTTTTGACCCTTTTGGTGCAGCTTGGCGGAGATATCGCCTCTGGTGAGAACAGCAATACCAGTGGATGGACGGTTCGAACACATTGTTCTTTCGCGAAACATGATGTCAGACCATTCGATTCTGTGCATATTGAAAGAATCTCAAAGGGCACTAGAAGTGAGCATTATTTTACACTTCATTTACATTGTTTGCGCCATAGTTGAAGGTTTCTTGGAAACAGCCTCCATAGGGGCAAGGTCTGCGTGCAGACACCCTCCCAAGACCCTACTTCTGTGGGATTTTACCAATTTGACCTTCTTGTTTTTGCCTGTCTCTCTCCAATTCACACAGGAATTGCAGGAGAAAGATCACGCGATGAATATTCCCAGGGAGCAGAGAATGGAGCGGCAGGCATCTCTCGCCAAAGGGCACATGGAAGAACACAAGGCAGCATTGCAGAGGGCAGTTGCCCTGGACGTACCCGAATCATATTCCCCTTCCTGTTATGGCACATTTCGCGAGCTTGAGAAAGGGGAGATTTCAGAAGAAGGGAAAAAACCCCAAGAATGATGGCTGAGGAAGTCATATTCATGGCAACACACATTTAAATCTGATATGATAATCACAGCTTAGGAAAAATAAACACTAGTCTCTAATATATAGCTCCATGTGGTATGTGAAATTGGAATTAATTCAAATAATATTTCTGTTAGAACTTTGGCAAAGATTTTCTAATTTTTTGCACCTATCCCCCTAATAATAATATTAGCATTAAAGAATTTGTTTTGAGCATTTCTTGTTAGATATAAATAGAAAGTGTATAGCTGATAAAGTGATAAAGGCATGCAGAAAAGATTTCCCTCTTTAGCAGATAATTATTTTTCAAAAAAAGAAAAAAGAAAAATCCCACTTTGCTTACCAAACAATGAAAAACAGGAAAATAGTTTTCTTTATGTGAGCCAAGCATCAAGTGTTTAGCTTGAATCAAGACATGGTTTATTTACCAAAATAGTACCTTCAATGTTTTTATAATAAGATATGACTCATAATGCCAAACAATATCAATTGATCATTTGATGTCGTTTTTTTTGTTTATTCTTCTATGGGTTTATTAATGCCCGTACAAAAAAGTAAATGCGCAACGATTTTGACATAATTTCTGACAATGTGTCTCACTTACACAAAAATATGTAAAACTATACATTAGTATCACAAATAATGTCAAAACTGGTGTTCCCGTAACATGGTTGAATACTTGTAAGGCTATTTGTTGGCTCCTAAGTGTTTCTTCTTTCATCTACTCAAAATTAGCTTTATCATTGGCTTAAAGTGCCCTAAAATATAATCTGTTTTTATGAAAAATGCAAGCAGTTTTCTCATTCATCTTCTTGGATTGTGAATTTAAATCCATAAGACCCAGACCTAAATGAGTACAATATTGTTAACTTAAACACATGTCAATATATAATTAAACACATTCTTAAGCCACTATATTGGTATATCTCACAAAAATAGTTGTTATCACAAGAAGGAAGACTCCACGTCATGTTCGTGAAATAAGAAGTTTCCAATAAGAAATCAATGTATCATCATCATTTACACTTCTATCAACCCAAAAAATATTATTGTTCCCATTTTCTTTTTTTACTCTTTCAGGTACAACCACTATGTACTTACATCTGTAAATGTTACATGTATATAGAAAAAAAATGTCACACAACTGTGGGTAGCTATACTTTTCTAGTTACAGCCTATATTCCACGGGTTCTTCAAATAAGTGTCATTTCTCATCCTTGGAACATCTCTGTTTGGGTACTTAGGGGTATCCGGACACCCGAATCCTTAATAAAATTTGGAAAAGTTGGTATTTTCACGTCCCCGTCTCGGTTGCGTCCTCTCCCAGGGGAAATGAGAACACCCTCTGAAGTACCATTTGCAAGGATCCATAGAGTTTCATCAACCAAGCCATCTATAATAGCTTCTTCCAATCCAAAGCCGATTTCTTGGAGATCAGATTGCAGGTCCATCCATGTCCCTGGCATTGCCATATCCTTTTCAACAAGCTGTTCCAAAGAATAAGAGGGTGATGGGTTGCTGAGATGATGCCATTCAACTCCTTCCCATACCTCTTGGATCAGGTCCATCCCCTTTGGAACTGGTTGTACATTGTTTTTGACTAATGGCATGCCTCTGAAGCACCCAAAATAGCGCCCACACATCTTGGAGAGGACTTGGTTTGCGCAATCAAAGAGGAATTTTCGAAGAGATGGGTCAGACAGTAACTCTATTTCATCACACAATGATGGGTCAAGAATCTGATCTGACGAAAGCCAGGTGGAAAGATATTCATCCCAGTTCAACCCTGAACCTAGCAGCAATGCTTCAACGTATTCGAATGCAGCAGATTCTTGATTTTCTGGAAAATCAAGCGTGTGAAGCTGTTGTTGGTCAAGAGAAGAAGAGGCTGCTGGTTCTTGAAAATGGATTTTCTGAGGTTGAATTTCGTGTTCGACTGTGGGATGCAGAGGGGGGTCCGACCAACAAGGAATGATTTCTTGTTGTGTAGGAAAATCCTAACACGTAAAAAGATTGATGTTTATAAGTCGGACTACGAACCAATAAAAAAAATAAATGTTAATACAACAAGAAACCCGGTAAGATCCCACAAGAAGTAGGTCCCACAAGAAGTGGGGTCTAGGAGGGTGTGTTTATGCACACATATTGTAAACACTTCTATACGTCTTGTATAGCCTCCACGTCCATATACTGATATACAAACAAACACAAATGGAGAAAAACAAAAAACCACTTACCCTTAAACATACAGATGAAAAATCTGAGCTTTGGAAGAAGGTTTCTTTGTTAAACGCTTCTGTAACGTCGGCATGTCCGCTCTCTTTAATAACTGGAAAACTACTTGGCTCGCAAGAAGAAACTACCAGTTTTTCATCCTCCAGGGATCCAGCTGAACCTGATTCTTTCCTGTCTAGGATACCCGAATTGATATAGAGAAAGTAATTAAAAAGCTGAACATTGAAAGTGCAAGAACAACAACAAACCCAGTAGAATCCAACATAAGTAGAGTTTGGGAAGTGTGTGTATAGGCAGACCTTATCCCAACTTACTAAGTGGAGAGACTGTTTCCAAGAGATCCCAAGCACAAAAGGCATCGGTAGTGTAAAGTAAACACAGTACTACGAAGAGAGGAAAAAAAGGCTCCTAAATCCAAGGTTACCTGATTCAAGTCCTTTGTAATTTGTTAATGGAATTGCTTTTTCCAATAAAATGTCAAGGGGAATGTCGCATGGAACATCAAGCCTTGAATTGGCCAATTTAATGTCCTGTTTTGCATTGATTTCTGCAGCAAAAGACTGATCCTCCTTGTTTGATGAATGGTCACTCCGGTCTTCTTGTTCAAGCTTATGCATGACTCCAATATCTGTCTGATAAGAGTCAGAAGGAATCAATCTCTTCCTGGGAGGAAGGATCTGTTCATCACTAAATTTCCTAGGACTGCAGTTAAGAGATATATTGTAGTCTAGATAAGAATGGTCTCTTTCTTGATATACAGGCAGCCCGTCACTAAAAGATTTTTCCTCTTTTTCCATGTCGTCCAACATCTCAAGGAGATCATCCTTTGCCTCAAAAGAGGATTTTGATACCCTCAGGTTGGGATGATCAGATGCATCTTTTTCAATGTCTTTTGCCTTACCTTTCTTATCTACTCCCACAAATCCAAAGGGAGGTTTTGCGAATCTCTCAATGTAAAAATGGTTTCTGTTAGGAGAGCTCCAACCACTATTTTCTCCACTGATCCCTCTATCAGTATTGCTATGCTTTTTATGAATGGATAAGTCCCGGGAGGTCTCTTGTTTTTCTTTTCCCATGGCTTTCTTAAGCCTATTTTTTATTTCAGTGAAAGAAAAGTGCAACGAGGTTTTTGCGCTCTGCAACTTAGTATGAGAATAGTGAGAAACATGGGATTCCAAGCTAGCTGGTGCAGGTTTTAGAATTACGATTTTGCGCGATATCTGGGATTTCTCATGTTGTGGTAGAGGGTAGCTCTCCTGAGACTTGATTCTCCGGCGAAAAAAGTGGGCTTGTTTTGTTTTAACGGTCTCGTGTTTTTTTTCAAGAACTGAACTTTTCTGCATCAAATTAGATTCAAGTCTTGAGTTGGTCTTCCCCCCTTCCTCAACATCTTCATCCTCCAAGCTTTCTATGCGCTTCACTAGCCTGGAATTTGGATCCCCTAAGAGTTTCCAGCACAATTCCTTGTTAGAACTTAACGCTTTCAGAGCATCCATTAAATCTTTTGAGTCACCCGTAGCCCCATATTGACTGAGGTGTCTAGCGTCGTTCAAATTCTGGCTTACAAACTTCTCAATGGACGCACTTACCTTGTCTTCAAGAGCTTGGCGAGCTCGATCTTCCTCATTGTAATCAGAACCCACATCTTTAATCCTGAAACGACTGCTCTTTATTTGCAAGTCATCCTTCCTGAAACTACTGCTCTTTATTTGCAAGTCATCCAAACCAGATAAAGACATACTTCTAGATCTTTCGTAAGTCCTTCCATGGTTCCTCTTTGCAATGCTTCTTCCCTTGTGTCTATTATTACTACTATATGTTCCCAGTTCAAATTCAATATCGTTTCTCTGATTCTTCAGCCTCGGCTCACCTAACATATCTTCTTCCATAAGTTCTTTCACACTTGTCTTAAACTCCATTGTCTTTGCCTCACTTTCGTCATCATCCTGAATCATATAAAAAAACAAAATCATGACATTTTATTTTTACTAGATACTAGTCTGACCCTCTGAGGTTCAGGAAACATATAGAATCCTTACACTTTTTTTTAACAAGAACAAAGAAAAACATATTCAAGAATGGGTGTTGAATGTTGATACTACCTCAACAAAAATACACTTTCCACTAGGATTTGGTACTGCAAGCTTCATTCGTGAACTACCACCTGCTGAAGATGAGAAATTCGGTTACAAGAATCGAGCGCGTTTAAAATAAATGCTAGCTATTAAGTGTTGAGATTGAAAAATTTCTTACCGGCTTGTCTTCTACCTTCCCTTCTGTCTGCAAGTAGGTTTCTTGTAGACCAACCATGGCGGAAGTCAAACACATTAGCAAAACCCCGGATACAACTAGCCTGATCTTTCTTGTATCGGAAAGGATGTGTCTGTGGTTTATTTTCCATCATGGCAGATCGTTCGAGTACAATGTACCACTTTAATGTAAAATTCTGTTACTAGTTCTGGCAAATTCTTTTACTGCTGAATATAGACATTTTTTCCTGGATCCACCACTACTCTAGCTAGCTCGTGTCCTGATGAGACGAATGTATATATTTTATACACAGTAATATTTCAGAATTTATGAGGTGCAATGTGTTTGCTTCTAAAGAATCAAATTTTAGAAAATGGATGATGCAAACACATCACACAAATTTCGACACCAAACGTGTTGCAGACAGGCCAAAAGATGAACTACGATTGAAAAATAATACAATTTGAAAATCAAACTTTGGGGAAAGTCACTTTAAAACAATAATTGAACACAAATAAAGAAAAAATACTAAAAATATCCCAAAAAAACAAGGGGGGAAACTTGCAGCAATTGAAATAAATTTCAGGAAGCCTACAAACAGTTATTCTATTTCATTTTCACAAGTTTACTACAGGAAAACACAGAGTGGAGCTCAAGAAACTATGGGTTACCTCACTGGAAAGGAATAAAAGCATCTGCTAATCCCTTTTCAAGAACACAAGCAAGAATCACCATCCTTAAAACATGGGCAATGAGAAAAATTCTCTGAAAATAATAATTACAGAACTCAATCACCCCATCACTAAAAGCTTCAATTAGGCTGTTCTCCAGAACTCAAGCCCAACACAAAAGTCAAAAACTCCCTCTTTGAGGACTGAATCAATGACACTTCACTCCTTCCAAAATCCAAACAACAAAGATGAAATTTCACCCAAACGATCCATATCTGGCAAACCCCAGAATTCATTCACGACCATTTACCCAATATATGGAGTCTGGGCATCCGAGACACACAAATCTTGCCAAGAAATGAAAAGTAAAAAACGAATCTTTTTCCCTTTGGATCCACCAAATTTCCAAAGGAAAATAAAACGACAGGTCTCCAATCCATACACAGAAGACAAAGAACCGTGGAGAGGAAAGTGATGAAAAGTGATGGTTTGATTTTATCGATACGGATGGAGAGTATGTGCCAGTGGTGATGGCGACATTGCAGAAGGGGGAGAATCAGGGGAAGAATTGGTGGGCCCCAGTATAGAGGAGCATCTGAGCTTTCTTCCACTAAAGACCCGGGAAAAAAGAAAAAACGCATTTCATGCCGTTTCTTTTGTTGTTTTCTCGTTTTCCATTTTTTTAATACTTCGTCCTTTTCATCAATTAATTTTGGATTTAACTTTTACATAGTTTAATGAAAGTGTTACTTAGAATTTGTTTATAGATGCCAGAAAAGTAATCCCCCTTTCTATTTAAATTTGAGAGTTTGATACATAAAAATTTGACATATGGCACAATATGGGTATACATGTGGCAAAATATGGAACATATTATGTGACATTTAATTTATGAGCTAAACTCCATTAAATATTATTTGATATGTGATTAAATTTTCATTTTTGATCAAAAATAAAATTATTAAAACTAATTTTTTAAATAAATTCTTTATATTAAACTATAAAGAATAAAAATATTCAATAAATTCTTTATATAAAGTGATTAAAATTTTATGTTTAGAAAGTTCATATATGCATTACTTATGTGGCTTTTTACACCTAATATATATGACACATAATTTAAGACATTAAATATGAAAAATTATTTCGGTATCAAATATATGAATAAATTTAATTATGAAATATTTATATTCATTTTTATAATAATACTTTTCACGATTCAATATTTTTTCTTCATTTCTAACAAAATTTTCAATTACTTAATACATTACTTTCGTCGCCTCTAAATAATTTTCACATGATTGTTTGTTTATGATAAGTTAAAATGAAATTAGCTTCGATTATATTTCTTTCAATATCGATATGAAATAAAAAAACAAACAACATATCTTAAAAATTACATTAATCATTTTTTTAAAAAAAGAGATGGTTGGGTTATAATAATGTTCAAGTATATTTCTATTTATAATATGATTAAATGAATTATATTAATTATTTATTTGAATATAAAAAATAAAATGAAAAATAGCTCTAAGTTAATACGGAGTATTCTATAAAACAAGAGGTGTCTAAATTATTTTTTAAATGATCAACTGTTTAAATCAAATAAATTTAAAAAAAATATTTTCTTAGGCTTGAATAGTTTCTTATTCAAACATAAAGTAAAAAAAGAATTACATGAGAGTTTGCAAAATGTATTTATAAATTTTCATTCAAAATCATAAGATTGCTAATATTTTTTTGTATTATTTTTTGTTTGAATCAATGCATTAGAGAACAATCATTGAATTTTGATGTTTATTTAATTTATTTTTTAAATCATACAATGTATAATTCAAGATTTGACAGCAAAGTGAACCGAAACAAATAATCAATAACAACCTAACATGGAAAAAGTAGAGTTGGAATTTTCTAAAAAAATAATTTTCTTTTGACCAAATTGATCCTAAGAACTATAATCCAAAAGAATATAATCTTAAAAAGTTGAAGAAAATTTTTACAATTGACACAAATTTCGTTCAATCTGGTGCATGGCACATGCTAAAATACTAATCCTTTACTATAATATTTAAGACTCACTTCATGAAAGTTTGACAAGTGGACAAAATACTTGGCCATTTTTTGACACGTCATCATGTCATGTCATTTTTAGAAAATGTGCTAATAATTATATTTAAAGCTATTACATTTTTATTAGTTATAATTACTCATTTTATTACTTTAATAAAACAATTATGCGTTTTTTATTTTAGGCCTTAGTTACCTTATTAAAAGTTCACGTTTTTGCCTTAACTAAAGCTAATTTGGGGTGGTACTTTAATTTAAATATAAGTTTTAATTATGATTAAATCCAAATTTTTGCCATATTTAAAGTCAACTTTTATTATTTACCAAGTGTTGGGTTATGGAACCCGGGGGCATAGGTAAGTAGGTAACTAGGCGGACGAGTATCGAACTAAGTACGAGCGCACAAAGTATGAGGGGTCAAGTAAATTGAGAGTAATAATGTGCTAGTAAGTGTAATACATAGAACGTAAATCCCCCTTCCCTTGGAAGGGAAGATGTTTATATACAAGTTACAGCTAGGGTTCCGACCGTTGGTCCGTAATCCAACGGTCTGGGCCCACTAAGATTGGGTTGTTCACTGGCGGCGTCCAACCACATGATTAACCCTAGGACTGCTACACAAAGTAAGTTAAGGGTAGGGTGGCTATAGCAACTCTGCCAGAGGCATGGCAGAAGTCTAATCGTAGGCCCCTTGATCCTGACTAAGCATGTTCCCTTGTCTAGGTCTGGTCTGCCGCTGCTCGTGGCCGAGGCCGAGCGCCTGACCTGCCTTCGGAAGTCTCTGAATGGAAGGCCGGCCGTGGTTGCTCTGAGGATGACCAACCCTGCCGGGGCCGAGTGCGCGGTACTGCCGAGGCGCTCTTTGCTGGTCTTTTGCCCTGGTTCCGCCAAGTGGGCCTTGGCAGAGTTGGGCTGGGCCGTCTTCCTGCTGGGCTGGATACCCCCATTCCCGGGTATCCATCACCAAGTTATAAATATATAAATTTAGAAATATTTGCACTAAATAGCACTAAAACTAAAGTCATTTCCCTGAATAGCACTTAAACTGTTTTTTTTTCAAATAGCACTTAATAATGTCCATAATGTCCAGTGATGGCGAATATTTACTTGAATAATGACTAATGCATAATGACTAAAAGTGCTACATTGGGAAAAAAACACATGTAGTGCTATTTAGGGAAAGTCATTATGTTTTAGTGCTATTTAAATAAATTTAAATATAATTTCTTGCATTATGTAATATTCATAATTTTTAATCGATGATTTTAATAATTATTGCCTTATATAATTTAAGTAATTTTTACGTGATGATTTTAGGAATTACTCCGTATTTCCTTATCTGGTTTTTGTTATTCTTTTGTTTACTTTTTTTTATATATAAGAACTAAGAAGATATGGAGTAAAGATTTGATTCGACCACATCCAACTAAGAAAACTAAAATTTAATTGATAATTTTTTAAATTTTTTAAGGAAATAGTGGAAATACATATTAAAAAATATAAGATCTATCAAAGTAAGAGGAAAAAAAGAAGAATTAAGAAAATTAAAATTTAATTGATGTGTTCTTTTTGAATTATTTTTTAAGAAATAGTGGAAATACAAAAAACTAGAAATCACTTTAATTTTTAATTTTGTTTTGTAGAACTGTTGATGTAGTTTATGCATGTCATCTCTTGTTTTGTAGAACTGTTGAGGTATTTTCTAGATTTTGGTTCAGGTAAGAAAGCGATCTTATGAAAGAAATAAGAATGAATCTAGTGTTTTAGATTGTGAGATCTAAGGGTTAGGATTGCATCAAAATTAGTTGCACCAAAATGGTTTTAAAATGCATCACGTCGAAATGCACCAAAATCCTTTGAAAATGCACCATCTCAAAATCTGAGCGCAGGATGCATTCTGAGCCGCACGATGCATCAGATCCAAAGGCTAGATTTTATTCTTATTTCTTTCACTAAGGTGCATTCTCATGTGAACCGGCCCCTATATATATATGTGTGTGTGTGTGTGTGTGTGTATATAGACACACACACACACACATTTCAATTTTTTATTTTACCCTTATTTTTATATAAATTCATTTAAAAATAAATTAAATCAAACATCGTAAAACACAATAGGCAAATTCAAATAGAACAGATGGATTAAAATTTTATTTTTAAATTTTGTACATACAAATAAATACATTTCAAAATAAAGTCGGTCTAGTCTCGTAAACCGAAATGAGAAATTCAGTTCTTGAGGGAGAGAGTATTTAAAAACATACTACATATGTTTCATAGTATTCCTCCAATTTATTTTTTGAACCAAATTAAACGAACTATGATCTTCAATTAAATAAAAATGGTATTACTCCTTCTATCTACGAGAAAGAGTAAACTAGTACGGAAGGCCAGTATATAGTTGCTCATTGTGACATTGCTAACTTCTATCTTGATGTCAAAAATATAGAACTCCTCTTTTTACAAATTCTCTATGTTTTACTTCTATTTTAGGTGATATTTTAAAAAAAATTCTCACGTTTCATGTTGCGATATTTGAGTGAAATTATTTATGATTAATTTTATATAAAAATTGGTGTGGAATTTAAAAATAAAAATGACTCCATATACATTTTTAAAAAACTATATAAAAAAAATCTACAAAATTAGAGGTGACATAACTATACATATTACTTTATCAAATAAACAATGAAAATAGTTAAAGAAGGTGAATATAGTTAAACCCTGTGAATAGTGAACGAGATGCTACCTTGTGGAGAGAGGAAATATATATTTGAGAACAAAAATTAATTAATTAGATTTATATCGTGAAAAACTTTTAGAAATATATTTCATTGTATTAATATGCAACACAATTTTTGACATAATTGTATGATTAGAATTCATCCAATTTTGACTCAAAGATAATCAAACTAAAGAAATGTTTGAGACGAGGGAGTTAATATTTAAAATTTGAAATGATGGATACGTTTAATAGAACTTCATCAAAGAAGTAAATTAAATTCATGTGAAATATAATACCTTTTTTGTCCCAAAAAGATTGTCTAAGTTTAACTTTTAGGTCAAGCTATGAAACACTTTGACTAGAAATTATGAAAAAATATATTTAGTTAAAATGTAAATTTAATAATATTGAGTAAAATTTAAAATATACGTTCGATACGTCATATTTTTATAACATTAATTATTTAGAAATATATTCAAGTCGTGGTCAAATTATTTCACAACTTGACAAAAAATTCATCAGATCGTGTCGATCTTTTTGCGACGGAGGGAGTATTGTAATTTTAGGTGATCATTATTTGTGTAATTTATTCATTCATACTTTCACGAGACATTATGTACTTAGGGTAATTTATCTAAACAGGAGTAAAACATAATGACTTTCTCAAAATAAGGACTTATTGTTTTTATTTTCTAATATAAGACAATTAGTCATTATCTATTAGTCATTATTCAACTAAATGTCCAACACTTGTACATTATTTTTTTCACTAGTCATTATTAAATCCTATTTAGTGAATAAAAAAGTTTAAATCCCCAATTGAAAAATGACTTATGTTTTAGTCTTATTCGGTGCAAATTTCACATGTACTTAAGGTGCTTTTGAATTAGTCATCACTTTTTTTTAAAAGTACATTATTTAGTCTTCACTAATTAGTGCAAAACAATATTTTGAATAATAATAATGATGATGATGATGATGATGATGATGATGATGATGATGATAATAATAATAATAATAATAATAATAATAATAATAATAATAATAATAATAATAATAATAATAATAATAATAATAATAACAATGTGATATAGTATAAGCGAGAGATTCCAAGCGAGGTGGATGAATAACGGTACTGTAGTTCATCTTGCTTCCCCATCTCCCGCCAACCTCTGTATTCGAACCCGTCTTCTCTCTATCCCTCCCTCCGTCTCTGTGCGATTAAATGACCCAAAAGAAACCCAATTCTTGAACTCAGATTGACCAAGATAAACCATTCTTGAATTCAGATTGGCCAAAAAGAGAGAAAAAATCCATTCTTGAATCGCAGAAGTTGGGGCCGCAAGAATCAACAATGGAGAATCCATTCGTGGATACCCGAGCGACTTCCAGTGCTGTGGATTATATCGTTCTTTGGGACAAGGTTGAAAGAATCGGGTACCGTCGTCTGACTCATACTACTTCGCGGCCAACAATCGGCGAAGACTCAGACTACTTCCCGGTGTACAAAGTCCACGAACTCCCCACCGTCTTCAATGATCTGAAAGGGACCGGCGATTTCTCGTCCATGAAGTTGATTCCCAGAAGTTCACAACCCGGATTCGTCAAGGAAATCCTTTCAAGAAACAGAAACCTTCCCGAGGATCAAGAGAATCTCATCATCCCGGTGATGGCCAACTTCGTGGAAATGGACAGCGGTGACCTCTGCATCGTCATGCCGTTCTTCAGCCTCGGATCTCTCCGGTCAGCCATGGTGGCTAAGTTCCCCGGCGGGCTGCCGGAGGCCTGCATCTCCGTTTCCCTGAGATACGTCCTCAAGGCCCTCCGTTTCCTCCACGCCGCAGGGGCTGTCCACAGAGACGTCAGCGCGGGAGAGACCCGTGCAACAGAGACGTCGCGCTGGGCTTCGCGGCCACGCTCTACAACCTGCACAGTGCTGCAGAGTTTCAGTATCCACCTTCTTCCTCCCTGCCCGCCACCAGGATTTCTGACTGGGCAGCTGCCCCGGAGGAGTACAACTTCTTTGGATTCCAAAGAGAGAACTATAGCACCAAAGCCGACGTCTGGCTCGTGGGAATCATGGCGCTGGAGTTAGCCTACTGAGAGATCGCCGTCCAGGACCGCGGAGCTCTGGAAACGAAAATCAGGGCAATAACAGAGACAAGAAGGCTTCCCAAGAAGCTCGGACCGGAGGTACAGCAGCAGCGCAGCGCATCAGTAACAACGACCTCACGGCGCAGCGGGGAGGACAGGAAGAGAAAGGCAAAGATGATAGAGACCCCGGCAGAGGAAGGAGGAGGAGAAGAAGAAGATCAAGGGTTGTCTTCGTTTTCAAGGGAGTTTGTTGAATTGGTGGCACAATGCCTGGCCTGGAACCCAGAAGATAGGCCTTCTGTTGATGCCCTTCTGAACCATGACTTCTTCTGCAAAAAGGGGTTGAAGAGGTCCCAGTTAAAGTCACACTTCCAAGACCTTCTCACTGGGGTGTCCCAAGAATTGGATCCACATGAGGTATGCAGCACCTAATCAATCAATTAACCCATTATTACTTAAACTTCAACTCATATATTGCAATTACATCCAATAGACCAAAAGATCGAAATGGACTTTTGGAAACATCCCTTAGCTTTGTTAAAGTGGTAGAAGACTCTCTAATTCAAATGAACATATTTAATTAAGTATATGTTTGCATATATTGGGGTTTGATTTGGTTAATTAGATCTCCATCTCATTAATTATTATATAGCGGATGAATTGAATGAACTATATATGCAGGTACAGTTCACAAAAACATGGTGAAATCACACCATCATCAAAAGGTCCATGCGAATCATCAAAAGCTCATCTAGTCACACAAGGTCTCCACCAGAGGTTAAATCAGCGAGTTGGTTACCTTATCGATCCTCGAGGCCTCACATTCTACAAAATAATCGAGCAGATCGGAGTCTCACGGCATCACAATTTTCGTGTGTATCGGGCAATGGAATGGGAACTGAACAAGACTTTCAGGCCATACACGGAGGAGTTCATCTTTAAAGGATGGAGATCAGTCATAATCGCGAATTCAAACGAAGACGGTTTCATGAGTTTCATTGAGAGCAGCTTGGAGACCATCAAAAATACATTCGTTGAGCCCCATGAGAGCTTTCTGCAAGTATTTTTTGAATGTTGATGCGATGGACTATTGTGTGGTCATGGGGTTTGCAAAGTATGGGTCCCTAAGGACGATCATGGCAGCGCATTTCCACCATGGGCTGCCGGAGATGTGTATATTGTTCGTGCTGAGGACAGTCTTACATGGCTTGGCGTTTCTTCATGCAAGGTCGTGGACCCATGGGGAGGTGAATGTTGGACGTGTGTACATCGACCTTAGGGACCCGTACTTCGCAAACCCTATGACCATGCAATAATCCATCGAAGCGATATTCAAAAAATCCGTGACTACTTGCAGGAAGCTCTCATGCGGCTCAACGAATGTGTTTTTGAAGGTCTGCAAGCTGCTCTCAATGAAACCGGCTTCGTTGGAATTCGCGATCATGACTGATGTCCATCCATTAAAGATGAACTCCTCCGTGTATGGCCTGAAAGTCTTGTTCAGTTCCCATTCCATTGCCCGATACACACGAATATTGTCATGCAGTGAGACTCCGATCTGCTCGATTATTTTGTAGAACGTGAGGCTTCGAGGATCGATAAAGTAATCAACTTGCTGGTTTAACCCCTGGTGGAAACCTTGTGTGACTAGAGCTTTTGATGATTCGCATGAACCTTTTGATGGTGTGACTTCACCATGTTTTTGTGAACTGTACCTGCATATATAGTTCATTCAATTCATCCGTATATAATAATGAGATGGAGATCTAATCAACCAAATCAAACCCCAATATATGCAAACATACTTAAATTTGTTCATTTGAATTAGAGAAGAGCAAACACGGATCGTCTAGCTAGCTAGGATCGAGACACGAAAGATTGAGACCGAACTAGCTAGTCCGGTCCTCCAAGACGTGTCGGGAGTCTCAAATGATTCTTGGTTTGTAAAGAGGACTACCTGATGATATAGTCTTTAGACCATTAAGCTAAGCATTAGCACACAACATACACCTCATCAAATAAATACACCACCACTGTGCTATATTATGATTTCTTTTTAAAAAAATAAATAAAAATGCTGGGACTATGGAGCGGAATGGATTGGACTTTAAACCGAATCGGATGGGACCGATGGTCTTAAGTGGGTTTTATTTTTATGAAGACCGAACGGGTTATGATCCATTTTTGTGAAAAGGACTAATTAGTGGCGGCAACTAGTTAGTGAGTCTTCTACCACTTTAACAAAGCTAAGGGATGTTTCCAAAAGTCAATTTCGATCTTTTGGTCTATTGGATGTAATTGCAATGAGTTGAAGTTTAAGTAATAATGGGTTAGTTGATTGATTAGGTGCTGCATACCTCCTGTGAGGATCCAATTCTTGGGACATCCTAGTGAGAAGGTATTGGAAGTGTGACTTTAACTGGGACCTCTTAAACCCCTTTTTGCAGAAGAAATCATGGTTCAGAAGGGCATCAACAGAAGGCCTATCTTCGGGGTTCCAGGCCAGACATTCTGCCACCAATTCCACAAACTCCCTTGAAAACGAAGACCCTTGGTCTTCTTCTTCTTCTTCTTCTTCTTAGGGCATCAACAGAAGGCCTATCTTCGGGGTTCCAGGCCAGACATTCTGCCACCAATTCCACAAACTCCCTTGAAAACGAAGACCCTTGGTCTTCTTCTTGGTCTTCTTCTTCTTCTTCTTCTTCTTCTTCTTCTTATTCTCCTTCCTGAGCTGCTGCTGGTGGTGGAGCCTATGTAATGGTGGGTTGTTAGGTTTCAAAAGGGGGAAGTTTGGGCAGGCAAAGGAGCGAGGTTGTGCAGGTACTTGGTGACTCACTATTTTGGGGAGGGGCTGAAACGTGGGCTCTTCACTGTCAATAGGGGGTGGGAGACCTGAAAGGCTGAAACACCTGCTGTTGAGAGAAGCAAAAACACTGTCCCTGGGGGCTATTTCCTCACTGTTTTGAGATAGAAGGGACACGGGTTGATGATCTTCTTTCCCTAAAAAATTACTAGACTTCTTAGGCAGGGGAGGGGATGTTGGAGCCTTCAGGAGTGGTATCATCAACAATTGAATTTGATGCCCAAGAAACCTGTCCAGCACCACTTGAAGCCATTGAAACATTTTCACAAACACTTAGTGGGCAACTTTTGGAGGGTTGAGTTGGAAACAGACTCTCCTTATGCGAAACAGAGGAACACCATGGTGGGTTATCTAAGGGCCCCATGTGTTGCCATGGAACCATCTTATGCCTGGTCACGTATCAAGATCAGAATTGAGCCATCAAAACACAACTGCAGATTGGGGAAGTGATCAGTACCTGAGTGATCCAGGGGAAACGAAGGAACTAGAGATTAAACGTCAATTTTGGGAGATCACACATTTGGTGCGTTGCCCGAGCGCTGGATTGCCCGAGAGGGTTTTCTTAGTTTTATTTTTTTTACAAAATAGTGAAAATAAGGAGTAGCACGGGCTCACATATATTCTAAGTTTTAACATATCAAAAATTAAATAGTGTTTATTTTAAATTCTTTAATAATGATATATATATATATATATAATGTGTTTGATTAATATTATCTAACTATAAAACACTTCATATCTCTTTTTGAGAGAAGAGTATTAATTTTAATATAATATTGATGTACATGTATTAAAATTTATATAAATTTTTATTTTGAGATGTAATAAAAAAGGAAAATGATGAATAGTTTATTAGAAATCACATCACTCTTTATTTTTTAAAGGATTAATAAAGTTTATAAAATCTTTTTTTAGATAAATGAATCATGTACAAAATATAATTTTAAATGGTGTAACACATAAACTCTAAAATGAATACAAATATTCAATAAAATATATTAAGATTTTTAATCTATATACTTCATCCGTTTTAAAAAGATTATCATAGTTTGATTTTTTTTGTAAAATTATGTAACACTTTGATTACAAATTAAATATAATTTTCAATAATTAAATGCATCCCATAAAAATTAGATGTATGAAAAAAATATTTTAAATGGACACTTTTTTCTAAATTTATAATATAATTAAATATAATATACTTCTTACACACTTTGTGATCAAAGTATAGAGCAACTTTACCAAAAAGACCAGAGTGTGATACTTTTTTTAGGGAGGAAGAGGTAACATATTTCAAAAGGGTTATCAAATAAAGCAATAATGAGATTTTATTTAATCAATGAAAAATAAAATAAAAATGCCAAAGAAATCAACCAAGTAATGAAAATTGCATAAGTGGTATATTACCTATATTTCATGTGTTATCCTTCAACAAAAATAAATTTATTTAATTTAATTTGTTGAAATAATATATTTGAAATTAAATAAATTTACATATAAAACATTTTGAAATAAAATATATAATTATGGCTGATATCAATTACCTTTCTTTTACACAAACAACAACCACCAACATTCTAATTTATTAAAAATTGTTCGAAGTCAAACTCGTAAGAAAATTCAACAGGAGTATATGACATGCAACATGAATCCTCTTTCAACTCTAACTTTGCTTCGTTTAGTTTGTTGAAAAAATATACATTGTATACTAAAATATACTTCTTAGTATGTAATAAGATAAAAATTTTGAAATAAATCTTGCATTTAATAAATATTTATATGTGATAAAAATTTATAATACTATTTTGAAAATTGTTTGAGTTGATAAAAATTAAAATAAAAATGTCAAATATATCAATTAAGTATTTTTATATATTATAGTTCTTTTGAAATGATGGATAATTTTAAAAATTATAAAATAGTCATGGACATTTAAAAATATGTTAAAACCATGAAAAATATCTCTAAAATAGTTAGATAGTGAAAACTTTATAAAAAGTTAATAAAAGAATGGTTATTTATTGTTGGAAATTGAAATATTTATAAAAGAACTAATGATATATGGTACATTTGGCGGACACATGTTAGGAGTATGCACGCGTGGCTCCCACGTGAATTAATATTGGTCACATCACAAGACACTTGTCAACACTACAACTCTTGAACTCTCTTTTACATATATAATAACTAGTATTCTGACCTGTGCCATGCACGGGGTCGAACGAAATTTGTGTCGATTCTGAATTATTTCAATTAAATTTATTTTTCAATATAAAGAAAATTTATTGTGCAAGTAATTTTTAATACTACAGATGAAAAAAGTCAAAGTAAAATAAATAATATTTTAAGAACAGAATGTGGAGAAAACAATGTTTATTTTAATACCAAATTTTCTAAAACACTTTAGGGTATACAACATTTTTGGTATAGTTGCAAGGGTTTCCATTGTGATCTAGAACGAATATCTTTAATCTTGTCTTTGTCTTCACTCGTGAAACAGCAACATATAGCTGACCATGTGTGAACACCGACTTGGTTAAAAATAACCCCACAAATGACAATGTTTGACCTTGATGTTTGCTGATAATCGTAGCAAAACATAAGGCGATAGGGAATTGTCTTCTTTGGAACTTCAAGGGTAGGCCTGGATCAGATGGTACCAAATTCATTCTAGGGATGTAAACTTTTTCCCCGAATCGATTTCCCGAAACCACAATTGCACCGATAACATTATTTTGTAGCTCTTGAACGATTAATCTTGTCCCTTTACACAATCCAGATGTTTGGTCAATATTCCTTAATAGCATAATCGGTACCCCTTTTTTCAAGACTATTCTGTGGTTTGGGATTCCCAAACATTTGATTTCGTTCAAGAACTCAACTGTTATCCAATCGCCATCAACACCTACATCTGCATCTGCTTGGCACGAAGAATCAGAACTCAAGTTCTCCTTTTCATCACCAGGAATGAGGGACAGGACAATTCATTTATCATTTCAACTACTTCGAGAATTAGTGCCAATAGTTCTCTATCCTCAAAAAAGTATAAATTTTCATATTCTCTAATATATTTGGATAAGTGAAGTCCACTATACTCTTCATAGGAGAACTTGTATCAAGAATTAAGAATTCAGGTGGAATTTCAACATCACCAACTTCGTCCATCACCTGATCTAGTTTTCCATCACCCATTTTAATTATCAAATCGGAAAAAGCTTGTGTCTCCCTATCTGAGCAAGAAGACGTGGATGAATGCAGTGTCATATTCCTGGTCAACGTATAAACTTTACAGTATGACCACAAATGTGAGGAATTGACCGTAGCACCTACGATTTGCTCTCTCGAAACTCTGAGTAAAACTGGAAGGATCTGTCGAAAGTCACCTCCGAGTATAACTGTTTCCCCTCCAAATGGTTCATTTCTGTAGTTAGCATTAGAGAACCCCATGATCCTAACAGCTCTATTTCATTTGCATGCCAAATACCACCAATCAGTATCATTTGTCACTGCAACAATAGTCCCATACAGTATGTAGGATCCATCCTTTTTCAATTAAACCACATATTAGTTAAAAACATAAATGTGCTCCATTGAAAAGAGAAAGCATAAGACGAAAGACACCTATATATTTCATAGAATTGAAGTACAAAAAAATGTACGAAATACCTCATTACAATTCTTTAATGTAGCAATCACCCTCGATCTACTTGGATCAAGGAATTCTTTTTGCTGGGAACTTAAAACATCATCACACGACAACTTTATAAGTTGAGGTGCAGCAGCCCTGCCTAACATCCTGCACGAAGGTAATATCGTGCTTAGATATAATATTCTCAACATACATAAAATTATACTAACATTTTGGTCCTCGGTCCCAGATCGGTCCTTACCTTAATCAGTCCGGTCCTCAGTCCACAAAATGCCTCTTATTCGGTCCCGGTCTGGGTTTGACCCGAGGAACACCCCTAAGTGCACATCTGCAGTGTACAAATTGAGGTACAAATAGATTAATCCTCATCACAATAGGGTATCGTCCTTAGCCATCAAAATGCGAATAATGTGATTGTCAATCAGCACCCAGGCGAAATCACCGGAGGGAGGGAGGAAACCTCGGCATCGCCGGAGCTAAGGGAGGTCGGTGCTGGATGGTGTTGGGCTCAACACTAATATTTTGATGGTTGAGAGTGACACAAAATAGTGGTGTATTAACAAAAAATTGCATTAACATTTTATGTGTGTGTCAATTATCACCCTAACATTATATTGACACAAAATGAAGGTGCACATAGGGTATGCATTATTCGGTCCGAACCCCGATCGACCCAAAACCCAGCCAAAATCAGACCGGACTGGTCTGGACCGGTCCTTATTCGGTCGTCATTTTTTCCTTATTCAGGTTCTGGTCTGGTCTGGTCCGGTCCACCAGGTTTTGGTCCAGAGTAGTGGACCGGTTACATTTTTTTAAAATATTTGTTTCCATATTTTTTTATAATATAGTTTTTTAAAGGTTTTTTCTTATACTTAGAATTAATTTAACTTTAATACTAAAAGTTTTTCAAATGGTTTGATTTTATTATTTAAAACATTCCAATTCAAAATAAGATACTAATTTTAATAATATTTAAATATTTTTAAAATGAAAAGTGTGAAAAATTAAACATTACATTTATATTAGCAATCTAATGCATTCTAAATTTATGTACCAATGCTATAAGTTAAGCTTATACTTTATCAGTAATGAAACTCTAATCAACACAAATAAATATTGTAAGCAATCTCATGAACAAAAATAGTAAAAAAAATGTATCCGTTTACAAAAATAAACTGAAAACACAAAAATTACTACCTCCGTCCCACTATATTCGTCCACTTTTGACTTTTGGAATTGTTCATCTAAGCACTTTGACTCATCAAATTCTTTCAATGGGTAAGCCGAAATATAGTCATGTGTGATCTTGTTTGATTTGTCTTAACATATAGATTATTAATATATTATTTCTATAATTTTTTAATATACAAATTATAAGATAAAATGGATTAAAGAAGTGTATTGGATAGTGTGTAAAAATGAAAGTGGACAAATATTCTGAGACGGAGGGAGTACAAAATAGCAAAATATAGTCAGAAGAAGAATATTCCCTAAATAAATAAAAATTACAATTTTTTTTACGTAATACAGATGGAGAATATATATTTTATTTAAAGTTTTTTAAAAAATTTAGAACAACAGTGTTTGACACATTAAAAATTAGTTGTAGTAATATTTTTATGCAATTAAATACTTCAAATTAAATAAATAAAATTAAATTTCAAAAAAAATATAAAATTACATTTATTCGGTCCGGTCCGATCCCAGACTGGTCCTTACCTTAATCGGTCTAGTCCTGACTCCTGAGTCCACAAAATGCCTCCTATTCGGTCCCGGTCTGGGTTTGACCTGATGAACACCATTAGGTGAACATCTATAGTTTACAAATTGAGGTACAAATAGATTAATCCTCAGCACAATAAGGTATCTTCCTTAGCCATCAAAATGCGATCGATGTGATTGTCGATCAGCTCCCGATCGAAATCGCCTGAGGGAGGGAGGAAACCTCGCCAT